GAACTCCACGCGCACCTACGGCCCCGCCGGGAGGAAGGGGGAAGGAGTGAGGGCGGGGAGCGCTCGGGAGGGTCCAGCACGAAGGGGCGAGTCGGGGGGGTCCGGGCCCCGATGTTGAGGCCTGGAAGATTAGGGCCTCCGGCAGGCCCATCAAAGCCCAGCTCCCGGGGCTTCCTCCCGGCGCCCGACCCCGCTGCTCACCTGCGTGCACTGTCCCTGGGAGCCGGTCCGGCCCAGCACTTTGGTGACCTGGTGGAAAGAAGCTAGGGTCAGACTTGGGCAAACCGACCCCACCCCCCGACACTTCTTCACCCCGGCGCCCAATCCGGGCCCCAGGCTCACTCTGGCCAGCTTGATGGGCTGCACACGGCTGGTGTCCATGATGGCGGCGCGGCGGCGGTCGGGCGGAGAGGAGTCACGTGGGCGGGGACGAGCATTTATATGACCCCCGAAGCCCCACCCCTTTGCATTCTCGCGAGACCGCATGGAGCCTTCCCATCAGGCCCTGCGGTAGAGACGTCACCGGCGCCCTTCTGTGCGGACGGAAGATGGCTTCTGCCACCCGCTTCATCCAACGGCTGCGGAACTGGGCATCCGGGGTGCGCGGGGCGGGCAGGGCCGCGGTGGAGGGGGCAGGGCCCCGTACACCCCTCCACCATCTTCTGCAGCCCTGAGCCTGAGCTCCTTGGGGCCGAGAGCCCTAGTCTGGGAGCCCCATTCGTGGATACGTCCTTCGCCCGCCAAGGGTCTCCCGGGACCCTTTTAGTTCTTGTGACCCTTCACTTTCGTGACCCCCTTCATCTGGCACTCGCCCGTCCACACTCCCGACCTTTGACCCTCCCTTGGTTGTGGGTCCACTTAGGGCCAGGACCTCCCAGATCTTTAGCCCAGGATCTTGTGCCCCCCCCATCTCCAAGGATGCCTGCATCCTGACACATACACACCCCTTTTCCTTCCACAGCAAGACCTGCAGGCGAAGCTGCAGCTGCGGTACCAGGAGATCGCCAAGCGGTGAGCAGGCCCGGCCGGCTTCCCAGTTCCTGGCACTGTGTGTGTCCATTTTCCACCCAAACAAAACCGTGTCCACTTAGGTCCCTGCGGCGCTGAGCCGACCACCCCATCTCCAGGCTCCCTGGCGGCCTTTTCCATTGGCGCACTGCAGAATGGGCTTGACTTCTGAGTAGAATTGGCCCCGGTGGTGACCCGTTACTCTTCCCCAGCCACAGATGGAAACATTCCAGGCTTGAAAAACTAGGAAGCCGCGTAGTAGCCCCCACCCCCTGCCCCGCCTAAGTATCTTGATTCCAAACTCTTATGTTTAAAAATTCTTTGCTGTTTATCGAGCCCTTCTTTCCCATTCCCTCTGCCTTGAAGCTAGCACTGTGTTTCTGAGGAGCAGAGAAGTAAACAGAGGACACCGATTGTTCTGGAGCAGGGTAGATGAACAGTGTGTGAGCTGGAGATGGGCCAAGAAAGGGCTCTTTGCAGGAGTTGGCATCTGGGCTAGCTGACTCCCTTGAGGGTCTGGGAGCCTGCGGCAAAAGTATACCAAGTTTCCGGAACCACCCAGCAGCCCCCGTGCCAATGGCTGCAGTTGGCTCAGGCTCACTGGCAACGCTGTGAGTCCTGAGTAGAACTACAATATGTTGTACGGTTCCGACTCATAGTGACTTGATGTAAAACACCACCCGGTCCTGCACCAGCCTCCCAACGGTTGTGTTTGAGCTCATGGTTACAGCCGCAGTGTCAGTCGGCCTCATCAAGGGCCTTCCTCTTTTTCACTGTCCCTCTATTTTACCAAGCACAGTGTCCTCGTCCAAAGACTGGCCTCTGCTGTCCAAAACACATGCGATGAAATCTTGGCATCTTTGCCTCTGAGGAGCATTCTGGTCGTACTTCTGCCAACACAAATTGGTTTCTTGTTCTGGAAGTAGTCCTTGGTACTCTCAGTATCCTTCACACCAGAATTCAAACGCCTTCTTATTTAATGTCCAACTTTCCCATGCATCTGGGGACATTGTGGCTTGGATCAGGCATACCTTACTCCTCAAAGTAGCATTCTTGCTTTCCAACACTTTAAAGAGGTCTTGGTCAGCAGATTTACCCAATACAGTGCGTCCTTTGCCCTCTTGAATGCTGCTTCCATGAGCATTGATTGTGGATCCAAGCAAGATGAAATAAATCCTTGACAACTTGAATCTTAACTCCATTTATCATGATGCTACCAGTTGGTGCACTTGTGAGGATTTGGGTTTTCTTTACACTGAGTTGTAACCCATCCTGAAGAACTGTAATCTCAGGAGGACTTTCAATAGCGAGCTTTGTGGGCATAGATCATCAGGCCTTTTCCAGGGGGCGGGGTGGGGGGTGGGGGGGGAGGCATGGCTGGGTAGATTCAAACCTCCAACCTTTTGGCTAGCAGCTGAGTGGGAGTTAACTGTTCCACCCAGACAGTGTGTGAGGTCACAGGGTTAATGAGAGTGAGGCAGTCCTTGAGGTTGGTTTGAATAAAGAGTAGCCTTAATGCCGCAGATTGTAACTCATTCCATTTCCAGAGATTGCTTTTCTGCCAGGGTGGCTGGTTGAAAAATATGGGGGCTGGTTGGGGAAATAGGAGCCCTGGTGGTGTAATAGGTTAAACATTGGGTTGTGGTTTTAACCTACCAGCTTCTCCGTGGGAGATGTGTGACAGCCTTGGACACCCCGTGGAGGCCTTGCACTCTGCTTGCTCTGGGGCGCAGTGCAGTGAGATTTTAAACTGCTTTAGCCTAACGGCGCCCTCTAGTGATTCCTTTGGGAATTTTTTTTTTGCTTGCTGTCAGGCACGGTTTCAAGGCTAGGGCCCTGGTGGCGGAGTAGGCTGCTAATCACAAGCTTGGAAGTTCAAAACTTCCAACTGTCCACTGGAGGACGACGAGGCAGGCTGTTTCCTTTGAGATCGACAGCCTCAGAACGCCTGGCAGGTTTGGTGTGAAACAGTCAACTAGCGTTCTAACCCAAAGGTTGGAGGTTCACACCCCCCTAGTGGTGGCTCAGAACAAAGACCTGGCAGTCTACTGCTGGAAAATGAGCCATTGGAAACTTTACGGAGCACAGTTCTACCCTGACACGCTTGACGTCACCAGGAATCACTCCTTGGCGATGGGGTCAGCAGTGTGGGGTGTGGTCATTGCTGCACTTCGAGGATTCAGCAGGTTTTGATGTTCACACAATAGATGAGTCTTCTGCCTTTCTGTAGTAACTTTCCATTGTGCTTCGGGTGGGACCGTACAGAACACATTGACTGTCTACTCAACAGATCGTCCACCTTTTGTCTCCTGTCATTGATGGGCTCCCCACCATGTCACAGCCCTTTCCCCACCTCCTCCCTGTTTTTGATTCCCTGCCTCCCTCTTTCCTGCTTCTTCCTAACTTCTGAGCCGAGCTTTCTCACTGGGGAGACACTGCCCTCCTTAGATCTCAGTGGCAGCTGGTGGTCCTAGGGAGTGCCAACACCCCTTTCCCCGTGGCACCTGGTATCAGTCACTTTGTAGGCCGGCCTCCACCTGAAAGTTGAGCCACAGAGAGAATGTGAAGATTTGTGTTTCTCTCTCTCTGTCTTTTTTTTTAAAGACAATGACGATCACCCCGCTTGTTTTAAGAATACAGGAATCCTGGCCAACTGATGAGCGGCACAGATATTTAGGACAAGCGTGTTTACGTGAAAGCAAGACCTCACTCTGATTTTCCCCATCTCCTCTGCCTTCTCTTCTGCTGTGTCCTCCTGCCAGCTCCTCTGGCCAGTATTTTGTTAGGGGTTAGCGTTTCCGCTTGGTAATGTCCAGCCCAGTGTCCAGGTCTGGCTTAGGAGGCAGGGGCTGGGGGGACCCCACCCCTTGAACAGTGCCCACAGCTTTGAGTAGGAAGCCTCCATCCCAGCGTCTCAGAGTTCAGAGTTCCCAAGATACCATGAGATGCAGGGCTTCTGTCCGCGTGGGGGGGGGGAAGACCTCTCCCAGTGGACTAAGCCTGGGGGGGGGGGTGTTTGTAGTCAGGTGGTGGCCAGAGCCTGACCCTCGACCTTCATGTCCTGAGCATCTGCTGGTGGAGGCAAGGCCGGCTCTCCCATTCCAGGCTGTAGAAACAGGGAGGAAGCCGGGCTGTCCTGGGTCCCAGAGTACTGAGTACACTGGGCTCCCAGTACTCGGCTCGTTTGGGACAGGCTCAGTACTGTGGGAGCCTCCCTTTACCTTCCAGGACCTTCCATTAGAGCCCAGTTTCCCAGCCACTTCTGGGCCCTAGTGCCTCCCCAGGCTAGATCCGAGACACCTCTCACCAAGGGGCTGCCCTGAGGGAGCCCTGAGGGAGGCAGGCTGCTGACCGGGCAGCGGGAGGGACATGGTTGCTTCAACGGGTGGCCTTCCTTCCCCACAGAACCCAGCCGCCACCCCGGCTCCCCGTGGGCCCCAGCCACAAGCTCTCTAACAATTATTACTGCACTCGCGATGGCCGCCGGGAAGCCGTGCCCCCCTCCATCGTCATGTCCTCCCAGAAGGTGCTGGTGGCAGGCAAGCCAGCAGAGAGGTAAGGACCACTGTCTCCACCCCCACCCCTGACAGACAGACAGACACACACACACACACACACACACACACACACACACACACACGCACGCACAAGCTGCCCCCATGCTGCCTGGGGCCTATTTGTCCCGCAACAAGCATGTCAGCAGTGGGGCCCGTCAATCTGGGCCTAGCCCATCCCAGCCCCCCTCACTGGTGCCTGCTATAACTGCCCCAGGTGGCTTTTGGGGGCTGCAGGTATTTATGGAAGTCAGCGGCCTCCTTGCTCTCCAGAGGGGCAGCTGGTAGGTTTGAACCTAAAGCTTTCTGATTAGCAGCATGGCAGATATTTGACCCACAGTGCCCTCCGGGGGCTAAGGGCAGGGTGCTGAAGCTCCTCCCCCGACTCCCACCCCCAAGAGAGGCCCTGGTGAGGGCCTTATGGCTTTGCGTTCTTAAGGAGAGCCTGGTGGTACAGAGGTAATACGCTGAGCGGCTGACTGAAAGGCGGAAATTTGAGTCCACACAGGCACCTTGGCAAAAAGGTTTGGTGAGCTACCTCGGGAATATCAGCCAGGACAGGTCCTGGGAGCATAGTTCGCCAACACTCACAAGGTGGTCACGAGGTGGAAAGCCTGCAGAGACCATTGCTTCTCTGGCTTGTGGGAAAGAGGGCTCTGAGCTCCAGGGTTCAGCTCCAGCCCAGCATTAACTGGGCAGTCGCACAGAGGGAACGTGGGAAGTGCAGAGACTCACTAAAGGGGCACAGGAACAGGAAGTGAGCATGGGGAGTTGGAAAAGTGACCAATAGGCTTGCTCGACGCGGGGCTCCTGGATGCACCATAAACGGGTCTGCCTGTAAGCCTCGGGCCCCTCAGCTCCTGAGATTGCTGCGCTCAGAAACCTCATCCCCAGTTAAGGGGACACGAAGTAATAGTATCTGAACAGCACTGAAATGAGGGCCCGTCCCCGTCACCTCTGAGTGGCTTGTGTTCATTCACCAGTCTGCTGCCATCCAGTTGATTCCCCCGCCCCGACCAGGGCGGCCTCTCAAGTCAGCTGCGCTGGGCTCCGTAGGGTTCCCATGTCCCGAGCCTTCAGAAACAAGAGCGCCAGGTCTTTCTGCCAAAGCACCTCTGGGTAGAGCCAAGCTGCCAATGTTTTAGGGGGTCAGTAAGCACTTGGATGTCTGTGCCACCCAAGGGCTCCGGGACAACAGATAGTGCCTGCCTGTCACCTTGAGGGAGGGCTGTCCTAATTACTATGATCTGTGCGCTCTTCTTGTCTTAGCAAGGCTTCTTGTCCATGGCGATGCTGGCCCACCCTTCATTCACTCCAGGGTTGGGGTGACAGCGTTTCTGTGCCTGTGAGGAGACCCCGGGCAGAAGCAGGCTTGCTGGGACCCCCATCCCCACCCCAGGGCATCTTGGGGCCTGGGCCAGGCCTGCACTTTCCTGTGGGCAAGAGGGTGACCATATGAGGAAGTTTCTGAGGTGACAGGCCGCTATGCAGTTGATCAGCATGGTGGCCCTTGAAGGCCCCTGGGGGCGCAAATGTTTGCTCTCATGTGGTATACGTTGTGCAGTGAACCACAAGGTCAGCAGTTTGAAACCACCAGCTACCCCTCCGGAGAAAGATGAGGCTTTCTACTCCTATAAAGAGTTAGTCTTGGAAACCTGCAGGGGCAGTTCTACCCTGTCCTACTGGGTCGCCATGAGTCAAAATCAACTCGATGGCAGTAAACTTGGTTTCTGGAAGAAACCTAGGTGGCCCATGGTGGAAGCATCGGGAGACTTAACGGCAAGGTCAGCCTTCTGGCCCATAAATATGGACAGTCTCGGCAACCCTAAGGGGCAGCCCTGCTCTTTGCTACAGGGGGGCTAAGAGTCAGAATTGTCAAGGGTGGGCTTGGGATTGGTCTCTAACCACTGACTCTCTCACTCCTGCAGTGCGGTGGCAGCCACTGAGAAGAGGGCAGTGACACCAGCTCCACCCATAAAGCCCTGGGAGTTGTCCCAGGACCAGCCCTACCTATGACCTTGCACCCGGAGCCCCCCTGTGCTGCTTCCCCTCCCGGGGGACCGTGACCTCTCTGATGACAAGTATACCGAGCTTCCTGGTCGCCTGCTTTCTCTTTTGAAGCGTCCCACCGCTGGCTCAGACTGTAGGAGCAGTGGGAGCTGTGTCTCCCAGGGTGGGTGGGCGGGCGGCGATAGCTGACCTCACACCCCCGTGTGCCGAGTGAGGTGACATGGGGTGGGGCCTGGAGATGCCACTGGCTGCCTTTAGCCACCTCGTGCTGCCAGAACAACAAAGAAACCAAAAGGAGGGGCTTTAAAGCACAGAGGTTTCTTCTCCGCTGGTCTGGGGCTGGAATTCGGGGTGTGGGGGTCCTCTGTCCATCTCAGCACTAAGACCTGCCCACGGGTTTGCCGAGAGCATGCACACTCATCTGCCAAGTGTCTATACGGGCCGACCAGTCCTGCGTGCAGTTCTGTACCTTTAACTGGGAGTGGTTAGGGCGGGCCCCATCCTGCTCGGGCATGGCCCAAGGAACACCTTTCCTGTATTTGCAAGCAGGAGTTCTGAGGGCTGGGGGCCACACTGACCCACAGCTAGTGGGTTCAAACCCACCAGCTGTTTTGCAGGAGCAGGATGAGGCTCTCTGCTCCTGTAAAGATTTGAAGTCTGGGGAATCCACCTGATCAGTTCTTCCCTGTCCATAAGGGCACCATGAGTCGGAATGACCCGAGGGCAGTGAAAGTGAGGGAGCGAAACGCCCCATCCACAGGTGCAGGGAGCAGGCATGGGCTCCTGGTGTAATCCACAGGAGGGAGCTTCCTGAAAGACTGACTTCCCTGGGAGTGGGTGACCCTTGGGACCTTGGCTCCAGACCCTCCGAGCTTGGGAGAACAGGCCAGCCAAGGCTGGGTGGGAGGGGGAGCTCTTAGGACAGCGTCAGAGCACAGACTTGTTCAGGTAGAGAGCTTGCTGGGGGCCTGCTATAAAGAATCCCCCCGCCCCTCCAAAAAAAAAATCTTTCCATCTCCTGTCCAGGTCCGCAGCCCATAGCCCAGTGGGGGTGGCAGCCAATCAGCAAGCACGGACGGGGGTGGGGTGGAGGCGGCAGCCAATCAGCAGGAGTGGATCCTGGGGGTGGGGCCCCACAGGAATATCTCCTGAGCCTGAACCGTGAAGCCGTGGCCTGGGGGCTGGGGAGGAGTTAGCAGCGAGAAGGAAAGGCAGGTCCAAGTGTGGCAGCCAGTGCCCTGGAAAGGTGACCTTAAGTAGGGGTGTGGTGTGTGCGGTGCCCACGCGGGAACCTTCACAGTAGGTGAAGATCAGCTTATGCCCCTGAGCTGTGCCAAGCCCTGAAAGCCTAAGCCCCCACCAGTTGGCTGCGGGGAGACCCCAGCCGGTGATGCTAACCCCACTGAGCCCAGTCCTGTGGTACCCACCTAGAAAGAGTCTGCCAATGAGAGCCGTTTAATTGCTCAATCTGGAGTAGTTCCCTAGTCAACAGGCCCTGCTGGACATTCTGTTGGAACATGTGCCTGCCCGGGTAACCCAGAGACCTGCACCAGCGCCCTTACCCACGAACAGCTGGGGGTTGGCGGGGAGGTGTGTGCACTTCTGGGCACCAGCCTGGAACATTATCTCCTGTCGTCTGGTGCTAATCTGGAAGTTTAGAGCACACCCTGGACAAGGTCACAGGCCCAGGTAGAGCAGATGGCAAGGGCCCCAAAGTAGCCATCATAAAAGTGACCAGCTCTTCAGAGAGAGGAAGCCCTGCCTGGGGGCTGAAGCATCCTGGGAGGCTTCCTGGAGGAGGTGGTCTCCAGGTTGGGACCCAAGGATGAAGCTGAGGCAGGATGGGGTGCAGAGGAGGACAGTCCTGGAGCGCCTCCAGGTCAGCTGTGCCCTGGGCAGTGTCACCTGACCTGTGTACTAGGGTGCAAAAGGGGAGTGGGAAAGAGACCCTCTTGCGCTCACCCACCCTGCAACACTGTCCACAAGCGCCCCAGTTCCCCAGCCACCCCAGGAGGCAGTCACTGACTGGTGTCACAGCTACCCTTGTGACTGAGCTGTGGCCGAGCTCACCAAGAGCTGACCAGTCTCACTCGGCTGCTGCTGCTGACACTGCAAGGTCACAGCTGCTTCAGCGTTTATTCCAGCGCCGCAGATGTGTGCCCCTCACCCTAAGATCCTGGGCCTCAAAGTCCGGATGTCCGCCCCTCCAGAAAGTACCATCTCCCCCAGCCATATGGCCCCTGGGAGGCATAAGTTGTGTGTGATCAACTATACCGAAAGGTTGGTAGTTTGAAACCCACCCGGTGGCAATGCAGAAGATAGGCCTGGCAGGCTTCTTCGGTAATGGTTGCCACTAAGGAAACCCAACGAAGCCGTGCTGCTCGTTAACCCACAGGGTCGTTGTGAATCAGAATCAACTCGAGAATGGCAGGTTTGGGTTTCTTGTCCCCTCCTCTCTCTTGTCAGGTGCCATCGGATCTGTACAGACCCATAATGACCTTAAGCACACGAGTGAAACACTGCTCTGTCCTGGGCCAGCCTCACAACTGCTTCCATGCCCCAGCCCATTGTTGCAGCCACTGTGGCCATCTGTCTCCAGGAGGGCCTTCCTCTCCTCCACTGCCCCTCTGCCAAACACGATGCCCTTCTTCAGGGACTGGTCTCTCCTGACATGTCCAAAGTCTGTGAGATGAAGTCTTGCCACCTTTGCCTTTAAAGAGCACTCTGGCCCTACTTCTTCCGAGACAGATCGGTTTGCCCTTTTCGGTCCTTTCAAAATTTCCCAGCACCACAATTTCACTGGCCCTCTTTATTAATGTCCAACTTTTACATGCATGGGAGGCAAATGAAAATACCGTGGCATAGTCTTCAAAGTAACATCCCTTCTCTTCTAGGTACTGGTCACAGAGACAGTGCATTAAAAGTAACTTTGTTACCGCTTTAATTTGTGTGTATGTCTGCGCATGCTCATGGATGGGGCGCCTACCCTCCATTCCTCTGGAGACAAAAGGTTATCCTCATTATGTTAACGACTCAGAGGAGTTCTAAAGAGACCCACTTCTGAGTTATCAAAAACAAAACAAAAACCTCAATTCCGATTCAGGAATGACCCATGGAAGGTTTCTGAGGCAATCAAGCTTTCCAGGAGCAGCTTCATTCTCGCCGGGGAAGGCTGGCGCAGGTGCCGTTTCAAACCAGGGAATGAGGGGAGGGGGCGGCAGCATGCTTCCACCAGCAGCTGCCATCCACGCAACTCCAAGTCTGGAGCCCGCCACGCATGTCGGCGTAGAGCTGTGCGCCACACGCGTTTTCAGGAGCCATTGCCAGGCCTTTCTTCTCAGGTGCCTCTGGGTGGAGCCAAACCTCCAAGGTTTCTGTTCCAGCGAGTCAGATTTGCACCCCCTGAAACTCCCCAGTCTCTAGGGAGAACATTAACTACTGGGAGTAGACCCGGGCAAGACCCTTTACACCGTTTCCTCCACCAAAAGTTTCTCCTTTCAAGCGGAACCCTTACATTTTCAAGATTCTGTCACAGAGACCGTGGAGGGCTTAGAATTCCGGCTCCCTCCGTATTCGGACATTTAAGGTACTTGTAGCCCGGGGGCGCCGTGGGACAGGCGCCGTGGGCCCCGCCCAGTAGCCCGGCTTGCGAGCAGTGCGCGTGCGCGCGGACAAGAGCGAGGCCGGCGCGCGGCGGAGGCGGCGCGGCGAGCAGCAGGATGGCGCGGGCTGGAGCGCGGCGGACCGCGGCTGTGGGCCTGGCGCTGCGACTGCTGCTGGGTCTCGGGCTAGGGTTGGAGGCTGCCGCGACCCCGACGGGGACCCCGGTCCCGATCCCGGCCAGTGCCTCCTCACTGGCCCCAGGTGAGTGAGCCCCTTGCTGCCACCCTCCGGCAGCCCAGGGCCCGCCCTCGCGTGCCGACAGCGCCTCGCTATTGGCTGCGCTGCCTGTCCATCCCAGACACTCCCCCCCACACGTGGCTTTTGACGTCTTAGCTTGGGTGCAGGTAGGGGACCTCCGTCCCAGGCCCCCCCCTCCTCTCCCCCGCCTCCGTCCCCTATTCCTTTCACTGCCACACGTCCGCCCTGCTGATGCTCGGCCCTTCCTCTGCTTCCTTGCCCCCCATTGTCACCTCTAAGCTGCCCTTCACCCACTGTGGCCAGGAAGGCGCCTCCAGGAGCAGC